TCGATTGAGCGGGGGTGGGAGCGGCTATCTAAAAGAGGAAGACTCCCGGAGTGCCCGGGAGAGTTGGGATGTCTGGGGTACAGCAATGTATCCTGCATGTTCAGGGCTGAAACCTCCCTTCCCGCGCTGCAAAAACTTAGGGCCGGCCAACAGCAGCTGCAGTCTTCCTCCAGCCTACGGCAGATGAGGTCGGCAGAGGAAGCTGCAGGTGGCCGTTGTGAAGCGAAGACAGCCGAACTGATTCTTCTCCTCCTCAGCCGCTCTGTAGCTGCAACGGCCACGGAAGAGGAAAATTAGTTTGGCCGTCTTCCCTTCACTCCAGGCCAGAGAAGAGAGAGCGATTGCCGCAGAAGCAGCGGCAGTTTCACCCCCACCCCCGTCCTGCCAGCGGTGAACCTCCGCCGATGAATTTCCACGCAATTGCGAGGGGGCGAGTGGAAATTATTTATTATATCATTTCATGTGACGACACAGAAGAAATGACACTTTGCTACAATGTAAAGTACTGAGTGTACAGCTTGAATAACAGTGTACATTTGCTGTCCCCTCAACATAACTCAACACACAGCCATTAATGTCTAAACCACTGGCAACAAAAGTGAGTACACCCCTAAGTGAAAATGTCCAAATAAAATATTTACAAAAATGTCAGGGGTGTACTTACTTCTGTGAGATACTGTATATACTGTATATATACACACATATATAATTTATTTAAGGGTGCAGTTGGATTTAACTGGCTTCATAAATGCCTTTCTACTGCCCTGGACCTCTTCCTATACCAGAAAACGGACTCTCATTGGCCTATATTTTTACTTCTTTTTCAAAGAAAAAAAACAGAACCAAAACAAACAAAACATACATTGACAGTTCACAAATAAGGATCAAATACAAGAAAAAAAACACATACAAAAGAACATTAAATGAAAGCGAGAAAACTACCCGGAAAAAAAATTAAACTTTCTTAAATAGTTTCTCAAAGTAGGTCAATGAGCAAAACTGAGAGTTTTCTTCTCAACTCACCTTGATCATTCCTAGATATGACCATTACAAAAGCAAAGACAGAAACTCAAGTGGGCAATTTTTACCAAATGAGTCCTACAAAAAAAATCACAATTTGCTGGGTTTAATCGAAATGTTTTGTATCAAGCAGATCAAACAACTGAACTGTATTTGGGTTGTAATTTGGGAAAAGGTAGCTATCCAAAGTGAATTAAAAAAAACAACAACTCACCAGCTAAACTTTTGAAAAGAATGAGTACATGGCACTTTTTTTTATATGGCAAAGGCTAAAATTAAGAATAAAGTAAATATTTTCTTTTTATAAGCAGAGAAATAGAAATACTAAATATGAATGCAGTTTTTTCAGCCACCAGGAGGTGGTCTAGGTGCATGTTCACATGTTTTCCTCTGTCTCGTTGCCACTTATGAAAAAAGCCTGGATAGCCCAGAAATCAATGGCTGTGCGCAGCTGTAGATGGTTACTAAGGATGGGCCGAGTGTTCGATTCGAACATGATTTTGAACCGAACATTGGCCGTTCGAGCGTTCGCCGAATGCCAAACTTTATGGGATGTTCGCGGTTTGTTCGACCGCGGACATTCCATACGGCAAAATGCCCTCTGAAGCTCTGATTGGTTAAAGTCTTTCACCTGTCCACAGGTCAGGTGCAAGACTTTGCCCAATCAGGGCTCAGTATTGAATTAGAGCAATGATTGGGCAAAGTTGTGATGACTTGGCACACATGGGCGCGTATTCAGTCATCGTAAAAATGCGCAAAAACAGAATGGAACCGGGATGCGTCCGGGCAGCGTATTTCTGCGTATTTTACGCGTATACGCATGTTTGCACGTGTATACGGGCGTATGTTTGTACAGTTGATTACAATTTCTATTAGGAATGATGCATTCTGGGCATGCAAATAGTGCACACATACACGCACATACGCTCGTATATACGAGCATAGACGCTCGTATATACGCGCATAGACGTGATATACAATTTTGCTCTTGCGTTGTGTGAATGAGGCCTAAAGTAATGTTAATATAATTGCGGGCTATGGGATTCGACCCCCATTGACTTGCATTGAGTTCGAGTTTGTATTCGAACTTTTCAGCCGTTTGAATACAAAGCGAACACGGGGGTGTTCGGCTCATCACTAGTGGTTACATGATGGCACTTGCGTAACCATGTGCATGTGTAAAGAAGTACACCCCTGGACACAATGTCTGGGTAATACAGGGTATACATTTAAATGCCTACAGCCTTTCGTTTCTATGGGCAGCAGCACCTGTGGCTCCTGTATGGAAAAATACACCTACATTTTGCATTGTACAGCCCAAAGTGCCCATGTGCATGAGTCCTAATGCTGGAAAAGCAATAAAGCTGGTTGTGGACAGTTTAAACTTAAACTGCTGTGTGGACTCCTTGCTGCTTATTTGGGTGTATCTACCCTGGAGACATATAAACCTGAACAAAAATGACCTAAAAGCATTACACTTTTCCTTTGAAGAAAGCTTGTAGCAAATGAAATACAAGGGCTATCATTGCTGAACCCTTTTCAAGAATACCTCTGCTAAGCTGTTATATTCGTCCTCCAGAAAGTCAGAGTGAAGCCAGAACTAATTTTGTTCCAGGTCAGTAACTTAGAATGTACCAAAATCACTGGGTAAATGAAAGCAAGGCATCTATCTATCTATCTATCTATCTATCTATCTATCTATCTATCTATGTAATTATGTTATCCTTATGTTATAAGAAGTATACCGATCCAAATATCCATCTATCTATCTATCTATCACTACTAATTTATTTAATTTTTGGGGGGGTAGGTGCTGTATCTGAAACTACTATAACATGTAGAAGTTGAAATCATTCTTAAATACCCTTAATTTTCAATATTTCTGTAGATCAATTTTTATTTGAAAATAAAGAAATGCGTTAGGAATTGCATGTATGGAGCTGGAGGTTCATAATTACTACATTTAAAAAAAATCATAAATTAAAAACAACTATCTTTGATGCCATATAAGCCAATTAGCTACTCCCGTTAATGTTTCCGATGTAGGTCATAAATTGGGAGAAGCTGACTGGATGATGTGTGGAACACATTCTTCTTTCAGATACTTTCAGTCATGAAGTCTAACTCAGGAGTTAAATCTTAAAAATGCATTAAAGTACATTAAATATTAACAAAAATGTATCTTATTTGTATATCAGTCGGCTGTAGATCCTCAAATCATCTCTGAATTGGTGCTGACACTGTCCTTCCTTCTGGAGGGGGCTACTTTTGTTCCCTGTGTGTGTTGTAAAGTAGCCACCGCTCCAAGCTCACTCACGTGATGGACTACAATCTCACATTTAGTTTACTAATTTGTATTGAAGTTATTGCAGGAGTGAGCTTGGAGTGGTGAGGTTGGTGTCCCTTTAACAAAAATAAGACAAAAACATGTTGATCTGATTCTTAAGAATGATCTCTGGTGGATGAACACTGAAAGATCCATACGCTACAGTCATGTCCCAAGCATCAATCATTCCAACGTTAAGGCCACTGAAGATATCCTTTACTAAGAGATACTGAATATACCCGTGAAAGTCACTATCGAACGAGCACATATAGGCGATCGGCGGGCTATGGGATTCGACCCCCATTGACTTGCATTGAGTTCGAGTTTGTATTCGAACTTTTCAGCCGTTTGAATACAAAGCGAACACGGGGGTGTTCGGCTCATCACTAGTGGTTACATGATGGCACTTGCGTAACCATGTGCATGTGTAAAGAAGTACACCCCTGGACACAATGTCTGGGTAATACAGGGTATACATTTAAATGCCTACAGCCTTTCGTTTCTATGGGCAGCAGCACCTGTGGCTCCTGTATGGAAAAATACACCTACATTTTGCATTGTACAGCCCAAAGTGCCCATGTGCATGAGTCCTAATGCTGGAAAAGCAATAAAGCTGGTTGTGGACAGTTTAAACTTAAACTGCTGTGTGGACTCCTTGCTGCTTATTTGGGTGTATCTACCCTGGAGACATATAAACCTGAACAAAAATGACCTAAAAGCATTACACTTTTCCTTTGAAGAAAGCTTGTAGCAAATGAAATACAAGGGCTATCATTGCTGAACCCTTTTCAAGAATACCTCTGCTAAGCTGTTATATTCGTCCTCCAGAAAGTCAGAGTGAAGCCAGAACTAATTTTGTTCCAGGTCAGTAACTTAGAATGTACCAAAATCACTGGGTAAATGAAAGCAAGGCATCTATCTATCTATCTATCTATCTATCTATCTATCTATCTATCTATGTAATTATGTTATCCTTATGTTATAAGAAGTATACCGATCCAAATATCCATCTATCTATCTATCTATCACTACTAATTTATTTAATTTTTGGGGGGGTAGGTGCTGTATCTGAAACTACTATAACATGTAGAAGTTGAAATCATTCTTAAATACCCTTAATTTTCAATATTTCTGTAGATCAATTTTTATTTGAAAATAAAGAAATGCGTTAGGAATTGCATGTATGGAGCTGGAGGTTCATAATTACTACATTTAAAAAAAATCATAAATTAAAAACAACTATCTTTGATGCCATATAAGCCAATTAGCTACTCCCGTTAATGTTTCCGATGTAGGTCATAAATTGGGAGAAGCTGACTGGATGATGTGTGGAACACATTCTTCTTTCAGATACTTTCAGTCATGAAGTCTAACTCAGGAGTTAAATCTTAAAAATGCATTAAAGTACATTAAATATTAACAAAAATGTATCTTATTTGTATATCAGTCGGCTGTAGATCCTCAAATCATCTCTGAATTGGTGCTGACACTGTCCTTCCTTCTGGAGGGGGCTACTTTTGTTCCCTGTGTGTGTTGTAAAGTAGCCACCGCTCCAAGCTCACTCACGTGATGGACTACAATCTCACATTTAGTTTACTAATTTGTATTGAAGTTATTGCAGGAGTGAGCTTGGAGTGGTGAGGTTGGTGTCCCTTTAACAAAAATAAGACAAAAACATGTTGATCTGATTCTTAAGAATGATCTCTGGTGGATGACCATTGAAAGATCCATACGCTACAGTCATGTCCCAAGCATCAATCATTCCAACGTTAAGGCCACTGAAGATATCCTTTACTAAGAGATACTGAATATACCCGTGAAAGTCACTAAAACGTTCCACATCCAAATTAATCTCTCTGGTGTTTTCAGATTTGATGATGATCTTTGTATTTGGGCTTCGTAAAAACATGTTCTCTATGGCCTTGCGAACATTGAGGAGCCTTCTGATGAACAGAGAAATAGGAAAAGCTCGGAAATGTAGTCCCAGTGTGATGACAATAACCGTGTCCGAGTTTCCACCAATTTGGTTAATTTGGTGAGTGACATCGGCGTAGTCCTTGGAGTTAAAGAAGCTCAGAGTTACAAAAGGGTGCACATGTTTCTTCCACTGTACGTAGATGTTGTTGGTTTGGTCTATGGCTAAGTAGGTCTTGTGCCAGCCATTTCCATGGAGGTCAAAGAACTTTAGATCTTTAAAAATAAAATTGTAATAATTAAAACATTTTCAAATTAAAATTAAATTGTGTTTATTACAAAGTGTGATATAGATTAAATACACATCATACCAGTAAGGTAAAAATCTTAAGCAAGTAAAAAAAAAACATCCTTTAGTTTACTTTACTGACTTAAAATATGTTTTGGATTTTTCTAATAACCTAATTGTTTGAAACCTGACCTTACAAGTGTGACCTTCTCCAGTGCTGTCGGATTGATCTTTGGTCCTCAGCTCTTCTCCCCCGTTGCTGCCACTTTTGGGTTCCCAAGCATCCTCCTTTCCCATTGGATGGCCACTGATGATGTAACTCCTGCACATGTGCATAGGAGCTGCATCTTGCCAGACACTCGCCCATTCATTGAACAGTGTATTTAGAAAATGAAAATTTGCTGGGAGAGAGAGGAAGAATTTTTTTTGCAAAAGAGACTTTGCATTTCCTTTCTACCAAAACATCCCTACCAACCAACAATTTTATTAACATTACTTCCGCTTTTAAGGGTGACTTATTTGAAAACATGTGAACCCCTCTATATATGTCCAAGGATATTATGTATAGCCATTTGAAAAATACTAGGGATGCACCGATACTGGTATTTTGGTATTGAGTACCAATATTTTTTTTTCAGTACTCGCCAATACCGAATACCGAGTACCGGAAGTCCCATTCAGGAAGCTAGTCGGCGTGTAATGACTCGCCACCTGGCTTCCTGATTAGCCAGCAAGTCGGGCGGCGTGTAAATACTCGCCACCCGGCTTGACGAGGGAAGCCATCCCTCCTCACTTCCCCCTATTAGAAGGTAAGCCGTCTCCATGCTTCTCGTCACTAGGTGACGAGAAAGCATGGAGCCGGCTTCCCGGCCAATCAGAAAGCCAGTGTAATGACGCGCTGCCCGGCTTCCTGATACCGGAAGTCCAAGCCACAAGTGACGACGGAGTATGGAGCCGGCTTCCTGATACCGGAAGTATCGGGCTAGGCATTGGAGCATTTGGGCGAGTACAAGTACTCAACCAAATACTCGGCATCGGCACCGATGTCGATACTAGTATCGGTGCATCCCTAAAAAATACTTTTAAAAATTCCATCACTGACTTTTCTTTTCTTGTGCTTTGAGAGCTGCCTTCACAAGCCTATACTGTACTTGTGTCAGTATTGCATTGTTTGGCATTCAATTTGTCTGCAGTCTGCACTGTAACTGCACACTAGAATAGGATCAATAAAGAAGGCATCAGTTCCTCATACCTGTTTGAGTCTATCTCCAATATACATGTACTCATGCAATCTTTGCAAACATAGATTAGAAACTGTTGAAAAACTGTTTGATTAGCTAAATCCTCTAAAGCACTCTCCTGATTTCATCCATGTAACATGGATTTCATCCATGTATCCATGAAAGCAGGTTTCACATCTAGAGGCTTTCCTGATGACTGAGGCCTTCCTTGTTCTCAGTCCAAGTTTATAGTCATATGCTCTCTATGCTGTAGCTAAATTTATGAAGGGACTGCCTGCCTCTAGCAATTATAATAGAGTAGTAGAATATACTGGAACATAGAACATGAATTAAACAGGTAACAGATTGATTTTTCATAATTCCATAATTGCAGTTACAGTGCAATATTTGTGTGGAAAAGTAGCTTCCTCGGCACAAATAACTCAGCATTTATAGCCATGTGGGTAGCTCAGTCATTTTATTTTAATCACTATGGAATATGTTGTGGAAGATGTTAATCGTCCAAGAACATGGTGGTGTGTCTGAAAGTTTGTGGAACCACCCTGTTCTAATTACATATTTCAAACAACACAGAGCCATGAAATCTGGGGCAGGTGTTAATGGTAAACAGTCATGTTCACCTTTTTAGGAGTCGCCCAGTGATGTTCACCTTTTTGATAGAGAGGAGTCGCCCTTAAAAGAATCAGTCAACCTAAAAACAACATTTTAGTTTTGGATTTTCCACAGCATTCATTTTCTACTGTTTCCCTTGACTCTGTTCTACCTCCATTGAGTCATACCCTTCCTGCAGATTTCTCCGAACTACATAGATATAATTACATAGTTACATAGTATTTGAGGTTGAATAAAGACACAGGTCCATCAAGTTCAACGTTTGTGTGTCTGTGTGTGGGTTGTGCGTGCATGTCTGTATATGAGTCCTTGTTTGGTCTTACTTTATAAGAGTACCTGTACGCCTGTATGTTATGGTCTCCGAGGAAGGTATCTAATTGATTTTTGAATGATTCCATACTCTCAGCTGATACCACTACTTGTGGCAGAGAGTTCCAAAATGTAACCACTCTAACTGAAAAGAAGCCCCTACGCCCTTTGTGGTTATATCTTTTCTCCACCAATTTTAGGTGGTGGCCTCTAGTCTTTGTTGGGGAGTAACAGTACAAAGTAGGGATGCACTGATACCGATACTAGAATTGGTGCAGATAAAGAGTATTTGGGTGAGTACGAGTACAAATGCTCCGATATCTTCCCCAATACCGGAACTTCCAGTCAAAGGAAGATTTCCCCTGATCAGCAGTACCATAGGGGAACATGGAGCCAGCTTCAGTATTCTGGATTACTCACTGCATGAAATTTCTTCTGGTATCCTTGGCTTTGTTCTACCTTCATTTAATTAATTTAGTCTTACCCTTCCTGCAGCCTTATCCTAACTACCTAGATGTTACCATGGGTGTCCCTAGCATTTTCGCTACCTGAGGCCGGGGTGAGGAGAGTTGGACGGGGAAGGTGCAAGCAGTGCACATTACCGGGGGGAGGGGAAAGGGGGGTTGGCAGCACACTCTACCGGGGCGGGGGGCCTGCACGGTACTTCTGTCCAATGTCCCAACTCACTGACATCATTGTACCAGTTGCCAGGAGCTGGGTAAGATACTAGCCAGAGCATCCCGCACAGCTCCTGGCAACTAGTGATGTGTCACAGGTGTCATAGGTTGCCAAGAGCTCTTAGGAACCTGGGACGCTCTGTTTGGAAAGGGGGCAGCAGGCACCATGTGACCTAATGAGATGCCTCCTATGGTAACTGCCTCATTATGGGGATGGACCTAGATGCCATAATAATTCAGAAAAGGAAGGTGGAGAAGATGGTAGGATAGAATTTACTCTTGCTGACATTCCAAGGCACGCTTCACTAATTGGTGGCAGTGGAAGATACTTCAAGCAGTTTTTCAAGGACTTCCTCTTTTCACAACACCTACAGTTCACCCCCTTCACTGAAACCAAGTTTACTCATCTTATCTATTTCAGTACTCACATTTCAGGTGTGCGGGGAAGTATTCTATCCACTGACGAAGTGTTGAATCTCCCATCAGATATATGATTTTACCAGTTAGGCAAGTGGTGATATTGGCCAAGGGTTCATATGAAGACACGTTACAGTGCAGAGGATACCACAAATCATTCAAAAAATACCCACTGGGGAAAGGGAGTGACATACCAGTTTGGCATTTTGGTTTAACTTCTACTGACATATCTGGAAAAGGAATGTAAAATACAAATAAAAAACACACTATGTTTACAGTTTAGCAATTAATAGATATAAAAAAATAGCCTATTTTAGTGTAAAGTGTGGTGAAGCAGTAAAGGCAGCTGAAGCTAGTTATATTTTGGATGGAACAGTGAATGGATATAACCACTCTCAGGTTTTTACTGTTGAGTATACCTAGAATTGAAGAGCTACACCTTGATATTCAAGTCCAGGTACAAGTTTATTCTAAAGACAAACTATATACAACAATCTGTGTTTGGAATAAACTTGTATTAAGGTGTATCGGTTCAATTCTAGATTCACTCATGCCTATCACAACCCAAGGTGATCATGGTAACCCTTTGGTTTTCAGAAGCTGCCAAACCAATATTCAGCTTCTTTATAGCTACACTACTGCCATACTTCTGGATGTATAATATAAAATGGAAAACAAAACGCCTCAGGGTACCAGCATTACTATTCCACTTCCTTAAAGCCCATTTCAACCTTTGCTGAGATATTTAAAAAAAAAACATATGCCAGCAATGTACACCTGTCAGGGTTCCACCCTGACTTTACTGGTTTGTAACATTCTGGCTTGCCTGCCATTTTACTCACCTGTGTTTCCTTCTTTGCCTGAGCAGACTCTGGAACAATGCTCACTGCTCCCAGGCTCCCTCTTATGGCCAGACAGGAAAGCATCATCTGAGAGAGTCAGATGGGAGTTTCCTGTCTCTAAATGATGATGTCACCCCACTCACTATATATAAACCACTCCATCCAGTCTGACCTTGCCGTGTGTGGTCTTCCTGCTAGTTGATTAGCAGTACTCCTAGAAACAACCCCCTTTGTAGAGCAGCGTCTCTTTAAACCCTACTGAGTTGCAGGCAAATGTGCACAGATGCAGAGTCCAGGATGGTACTTGCGGTTTGTTGGGGTATTCAGAGCCCTCCAGGAATACAGGGCGAAGGATCACTGCTGTGCTGGAAGAAGACCGGATTACTATGCTCTGGAAACGAAAGGTTCATGTGCTTCAGCAGAGGTATGAGCCCTAAGGAATTGCTCAACGTTCTACCTCGCTAGAACATTGAGCAAGTGTGTCTTCCAGGCTTTTATGAGTAGGCAGGTGTGTTGGGGCGGAGCAGTCAGCAGAGGCCCTCCGAAGTCTCCTAGCAACAGGATGCTTCCGAAGGGCCAGGCTGCTCCGCCCTCACTCCTATGTGTGACGAGTCCGAGGGAGACGTCTGGAGGGAGGAGCCGAGTACGCAAGCCTGCCGGACCGTCGTCTCCTAGCAACGAGACGGCGCCGCGGCTGTGTGAGGAGACGGAGCTCGGGTTTGTGACACTAGTGCATTCCTGCTGCTCTGAGTATCCTGATTCTGTGTATGACCCCCACCCTGGCTGACGTTCTCCTCTGGCCACTGCTCCTGGCTTGTTGCTGACAATGCTGATTTCCTGGCTTCTTCCTGACGACACTAATCTCTGCGTTCCTGACCTGGCTTGAATGACTAACCACTCTGGTTCCTGACTATGGCTTGTTCCGGTTTATGATTCTGCTTGCTCCTGTAGACACTGTTCTTAATAAATGTTTTAACTAGCACCTTTTGCTTGTCTGGTTTTCATTGTGCTCTGACTACACCGATTTGATTTCGGTCGTCCGTTGGTAGTTATACTTACATGTGCCAACGGATTTCCTATACATGAAGCAGGAATATGCAGTCGCTGTATACAAACACAAAAACATACTTTTTTTGTTAGCTTTCCCCTTTATCTCCTCATTAAAAGGGCTGCAATTGTGCTTTGTGTGTAATGTGTGTATAATACAAGTGACCTCTCCACCCCCACCCCCTATGCATTAGTATTCATAGTGGCAACCCCCCTCCCCATGCAATGTATTGTGTGCAAAGGCATAGCTGCTGTTTACTGATCATGTTACAATGAATAACTGGGAGGGGGAGAGCTGTTTAGAGTCTACTTTTCACCCACCCCGGTGTCAGACTGAGTTTCAGCAGCGCAGGTACACAGGGAGTAAGCCAGGAGCAAAGTTGTGAAACAAGCCAAGGTCAAACACAGCCGGGCAGTGGAGGTACAAAAACAGCAATCAGAAAGCACAGTCGGGGTGGAAGCTAGAGTCAGGAACCAGGGGATCTAGATATCGCAGAGTCGAACAAACCAAGTCAGATCTCAGGAGAAACACACAGGTCAGGTCACAGGAAGCAGAAGCTGACAACCACTCAGCAACTTCCCTTTGCTGAGGCTCAGGTTTAAATCGGCAGTCTAGCCTAGTTGTTTTCTACATTTAGCCCATCATAATGTCACCGAGATCACTTTTATGCAGTCTGGAGGTCCGTTCTCCCCTCCCCCCACCATGTAACTCTCTCCTCCATGGTCGCCTCTGTCCGAAGAGCTTCAAGATGGAGAGCAGTGAGCAGAGCGGAAAACGTCCGTTCTCCGCTCTGCTATATGTAAACAGTGAGAGGGGAGAACTGCACTTGCATCCTTCCCATCTCAGCTGTCACTGGAGTTCCAGTACAGTGCTGTGCTAGAACTCCTGCATTGGAGGTGACAAGTTCAACAAAGAGAACCTGCCACCTCCAAATGCTATCACACAGGGGCTTGTTATCTCCCGTGTGATAGCAATAAAGTTAAGAGGGGGAAAAAATTGGGAACAAAAATAATGAAATAAAAAAAAGTTTAAAAAATAATAAGAAATAATAAATATAATTAAGAAATGTGATTAAAAAGTAAAACATTATAAGAAAAAAATGTTATACAAAAATAGTAAGATAAAAAATTATTTAAAAAAGTTAAAAAATAATAATATTAAAAAAGTGACATGTAAAAAATAAATAAAAACAATTAAAACTGATCCTGCCCCCCCCCTGTCCCCCCACCATATGGTCCCTCTTTAGATCCTTTATTCTAACCTCAATGATAACATGATTGAGAGTTCAAATCCCCATACAACCATTGTTTCAGATTTATTTATTAAAGTTGTATAAACTGCAGAAACCAATGGAACCCCATTGGCTTTAGACTAGGTAGCGTTTCATATTGATTGCTTTGGGTTATTGCACTGTGCAGGTAGAGGGCATCTTTTATTTCAAGGCAATGGACTCTTGATAGTAGAGTTTAACCAGAAGGAATAGCTTTTTGGAGGCTGTTTGACTATTAATCCACAATTCGTATGGTGTATAATGATATCACAGCTCTGGTTTGGGCCCCACCCCCCATCTGAGGTAGTGGCGTTGTGTGTATGCTGCTGACCACAAAAATAAAATGGTTGTGAGTTTGAATCCCCCGGGGAACACATTTTCAGATTTATTTATTAACCAATTGGTTTTCAGACTAAGTAGCCTATCATATTGGTGGCTCTGGGTTATTGAACTTTGCAGGCAGTTAAGATGGTGTCCTTTGGTACAAGGCAATGGACTCTTTAAAGTAACTGAGTCAAGTAGGAGGCTATCCTAGGTCTAACAGCAGCGATTAAATACAATGGTTGACCATTAAACCACTAATTTTCTGGTAGGCAATGAGATCAAAGCTCTGGTTTTGGCCCCACCCACCAACTGAGCCAGTGGCGGTGGGTGTATGCTACTGACCATGAACATAAGAATGGTCGAGAGTTTAAATCCCCAAGTGACCACCCTTTCAGATTTATTTATTAAAGTTGTATAAATTGCAGAAACCAGTAGCAACCAATTGGTTTTCAGACTACGTAGCCTTTCATATTGGTGGCTCTGGGTTATTGAACTTTGCAGGGGATTGAGATGGCGTCCTTTGGTCCATGGCAATGGACTCTTGAAAGTAACTGTTTTTTGTTTTTTTAGTCATTGAGGCCAAGATTCATTTAACCATTAATCCGCCATTAACATATCACAGCTCTGGTTTTGGCCCCGCCCACCATCTCGGGCAGTGGTCTTGTGTGTAGGATGGCGATCTCACTAATAGAATGGTTGTGAGTTCGAATCCTCAGATGGCCACCTATTCAGATTTATTAATGAAAGTTACATGAAGTGCAGAACTCGATAGCAACCAATCAGCTTTCCTATCGGGTATGGTAAATATTGGTTGCTATGGGATACTACACTTTTCAATTTGTATTACCTTACTTGATTACCTTACTTGATCACCTCAGTTGAATTTGAGTTGTATTACCACTGCTCACAGACTCAAGCACCCAGGGCTGTGGCTCAGTCACATGAAGGGTGACTGATTGTGGAATCTGAAGGCCAAGTGTTTGATTCCTGAGGTAGAGCAAACTACCTAATGGCTGTTTGGGGTGAAACAGCAACAATGTGCTTGGTGGAATGTGAAGGGGCATCCCTGGTCACAAAAACCTGGTGAGAGGATAAGGTGTGGACCTTCTCCCCAAAGAACTATGAGGTAGTTGGCACCATGTGAATGAAGAGGCATCCACTGTTCACAAAAACCAGGTGAGAGGTTAAGGAGCAGACCTTCTCACCAAAGAACTATGAGGTTGGCACCATGTGAATGAAACCTCAGTGACATACACTTAAGCCATGAATGGGCATCTCTCATCACAAAAACCTGGTGAGCGGTTAAAGAAGGAGTGGACCTGCTCCTCAAAGAACTGTGAGGTTGGCACCAGGTGAATGAAACCTCAGTGAAGTAAACTCCAGCATATGAGACATGTGAATGAAATGCCAAAGATAGGTGCACCTTACCATGGCAAGGGGATATATGGTGACCTGGCAAGTTGGAAGAGGCCAATGCCTCACAGAAAAACAAGCACCAGTAATTATTTTTGCATTCATTTGCCAACTTAAGGAAAACTTGGCTAGTTCTCTCTGTCCACTCCACCATCCTCAGTGCACAGCTTTCCTTGGACAGGATCATTCAGCTACTTCACCAAGGATGGTGATCAGCACCACCACTTCAAGTTTCCCAAGGAAGGTGGTCCTCACCACCACATGTTCAAGCTCTGAGCACTTCCACTGGGTCTTCACACAATTTTGCACCCATCACACAACCCAGTGGTCT